GATCTCTTGACCTCGTGATCCACCCGCCTCGGCCTCCCAAAGTGCTGGGATTACAGGCTTGAGCCACCGCGCCCGGCCTTTCCCATTTTCTTAATTTGATAGAAATGAAACAGCGCACTGTGAAGAGACTCAAGGTGGGTTCCAGGCATTTCTGTGCCACTCACAGGGTGCAGGGTGATGGGCATGCCCGCTGCGGGGGGTCCAGCCCACACACCTGCCTGCACACACCTCGTTTCTCTCCGTACCCCGTGTCTCAGAAGCGGCTTCATCAGGGGCGTGCTGGCAGCTGTGGGGGCGTGTGGAGTGTGCACATGTGTGTACACTCCCATCTGTGTATGCTAAGGGGCGACGGCTGGTCCCAGACCTGAGGGTCCCTCTGCTTCAGGGAAGAGGATGGGCCTTGGGCTACGGATGCCCCTCAGTCTGAAGGCGGGGACTGCTGTGGGCCACGGAGAGGGGGTCAGCAAGTAAACTACAGAGCACTAGAGGTTCCGTGTGGTTTCAGATAAACACACACACTTCAGCGCTCATGTCACAAATACCACAGGAGACAAAGGAGCCGTCACCGAGCAGAGACTCACATTTACCTGCGCATCTTGGGTCCATACGTCTGGCAGCCCTGGGGAGACTTCTTTCCACTTCAGGCAGATCAACAGATGAGTGGGTGTCCGAGAGGCGGGGAGGACGCCGAGCCTCATGCTGGACAGTGGCCTGAGGCCACCAAGGGAGCAGCCACAGCTCCTGGCACCGACAGGCATAGAAGAGAGGGAGGGGCTGGACCGGACTCAAATCCTGTCCAGTAATGGCAGCTGCTTCGAGACCCGCCAGGGTGTGCATCCCAGGGAGAGACACCAGCTGGGGTCCCCAGGTGACCCCAGCTGCTCCTGCAGGAAGGGTGCCTCCAGGCAGTGGGCTGGGCACCATCTCCCTTCCAGCTCTGCCAGGGCCTGGGCTGGGCACCATCTCCCTTCCAGCTCCACCAGGGCCTGGGCTGGGCCCTCCAGCGTGAGCACAAGTCTCACCCCCAACGTCCCCCCCGGGAGACCACTGGAGACCCTGAGTGGCTGGACGCTATGGCCCAAGGTAGGGGACATTGTCCTCCTAAGTCTCCCCAGCCAAGCCAGGAGCTGCAGGCCGAGGCACCTCTCCAGCCTCCCCCAGCCTCACTGGCCCCTTCCTTTCCTTTCTGCCCCTTTGTCATGGAGCTCAGGGCAGGGTCCTGCCTGGAGACAGGAGGCCTGGCCTCAGATGAAGTGGGGGCAGCATTCCCAGAGCCTTTGGCTACTGCCTGCAGCCTCGGCTGGGGGTCGCGGAGGCCTTGAGTTTGGGGGCTGGCTGGTGCTCAGGGCCGCAGGCAGGCCTCCACCCTCCCACTCAGGCCTTCAACAGGGCAGCCTGTGCCCTTGGCTGAGCCTGGGGGAAGGGTGGGCAGGAGATGGTCAGCAAGGCTGGCACTTATCTGGTCATAGAGGGCAGTGACAGATGGGGAAACTGAGGCTGGCTATAACAGACAGGGAATCTGAGGCTGGCTGTATCTGCTCATAGAGGGCTGTAACAGATGGGGAAACTGAGGCTGGCTATAACAGACAGGGAATCTGAGGCTGGCTGTATCTGCTCATAGAGGGCTGTAACAGATGGGGAAACTGAGGTTGGCTGTGTCTGCTCATGGCAGTAGCTTATGGGGAAACTGAGGCTGGCTGTGTCTGCTCATAGAGGGCTGTAACAGATGGGGAAACTGAGGCTGTGTCTACCTATGGCAGTAGTATATGAGGAAACAGGCTGGCTGTGTGTACTCACAGCAATAACAGATGGGGAAACCGAGGCTGGCTGTGTCTGCTCAGCCCTCGTCCGGGACGGATTCTTTCCCCCAGTGTCTGGCTCACTTGTGACTGCTCTCTGGCCCTGTCCTGGCTAGAGAATCTGGGGCATGGCTTTCACTGTGGGGGCCTCGTCCTCACGTGCTGCGTCCTGTGCCTCAGCACAATGACGGTCTGGCCCTAGCTGCCGCCAAGGAGGGGGGACAGAGCTCCTGCAGAGCCCCCACTGTGGTCCTGGCAAGAGCGGTGGGACCTGGACCAGGCGGGGCTGTGCAACCTGAGAGAAGGAACCGATGGGCTCAGGGCAGGGGCTGGGTAGAAACAGCAGCCCCCGGAGGACCAGGGCTGGTGACAGGTGGCTGGAAAAGGTGGTGCCACCAGCAGAGCTGCACTCTGAGATTTGGGAAAGGGCTTTGTGTCTGAGGGGCCTCTGGAGCTGGGCCGGAGCTCCCCAACACCACCTCCCTCCAAGCACCAACCTGTGAGGCCAGCGGGAGAGAGGGCGGCTCGAGCTGGAGGGAGGCCCCAGGTTCACCTTCAACAGGGACCCCCAGGCAGCCAGCTCGGAGCCTCCCCCCAGCCGAGCCCACGGACTGGGGCCCTGGAGGTTCGGGACCTCTGATTAGACCTGGACCTGCCAGAATGGGGGGGGTGTCACTCTCTACTGGGAGCCACGGGAAACAGGGAAGCAATGTTGAGGCCTCTGGAAGGTTCCAGTTGAGTCTAGTCTTGCTCTGACACCAGGCACAGTGCACAGAAGAGGGGAGACATAGGCAGGTGGCACCCGGAGCCCTCAGCTGCTGTCCGGTGCAGCCCCGAGTCTGGGAGGCAGGCGCCCAAAGGGACCACAGGCCCCGACTCTTGCTGCGTCCTGGCCTCCGGAGGTCCTGTGACCTGGGGGTCCAGGCCCAGGGTTGGTGCTAAAAGAGACCACAGGAAAACCACCGAGGTGCCTAGGTGCCCGGCCCCGAGGGGCTCTCAGCCACAATCAGCCTGTGCTGGGTCTGTTATCACCCCCATTTTACTGGGGGGGAAACTGAGGCCCAGGAAGTTAAAGTGACCTTTCCCAGGACTCCAGGGTGTGTCCAGGCAGAGCTCACAACCTTGATGCTCCAAACGCCTTCTCACCGGGTCCTGCGTGGCCGAAAGGCCACCCTGAGCCTTGTTTCCGTCCCCTGCCCCAGCTGTGCACCCGGCCCGGGGCTCACTGCAGTCTCCCTTGCCCCCAGTCCTCATCCCGCCGCGCCGGCCTGTGCTGCACCAACTGCCACACGACCAACACCACCCTGTGGCGGCGGAGCTCGGAGGGGGAGCCCGTGTGCAACGCCTGCGGCCTCTACATGAAGCTGCACGGGGTGAGTGCGGCCCGGGCAGGGCAGGGCCCTCTCCAGCCACCCAGCAGGAGCCCTCCCCACTCCCAGACCTGGGGGCTGGGGAGGAGCCAGCGGGAGGGCCCCTGTCCCTGGGGCTGAGTGTGTCACACACGTCCCCGCCGACGTGGCACCACCCCAGTGGCCCAGGTTGTTCCGGTTACGCCATGGCACAGACACGCTGACCGAGGCTCAGCACAGCCATTCGGCCTGGGCCGGACAGGGCACGGCTCCTGCCCTCGGGGCACCCCCAGTGCCTTCTGGCCCATGACAGCTCTGTGGGAGGCGAGGATGGGAATCCAGCCCCACAAGCTCCCCCTCCCCAGCCCAGCTGGCCACCGACCCACCAGGGCTACGAGGATGCTGCCAGCCCAGGGAGTGACCGGCTCTGGGGGGTGGAATGAGGGGTGCTGTGTGAGGGGCCCAGGGATGAGCAGGACGGAACCAGCCTCCACCCTGGCCGCCCCCGCCAGGTGCCGCGGCCTCTGGCCATGAAGAAGGAAAGCATCCAGACCCGGAAGCGGAAGCCGAAGACGGCCACCAAGCGCAGGGGTTCCTCAGGTGTGCGGCAGCCCTGGGGTCAGGCCTCCCGCCTCCAGTCCCGCCACGAGAGACCTGTGTGTGTTTGGTTCAAGCTCTGTCCTCTAGAAGTCCAAATGCCCCCAGATCTGCCCTGTAGTGACTTTGCTGGGGGATGTGGGGGGCCAGGGGTGACAGCAGGTGAGCGGCAGGGACAGAGGTGGGGCTGAGGAAGCCACGCCCTGCCCAGTCCCACCCACGCCCCAGGTGTGACGGAGAGTAGTCTCCAACCTCTCTGGGCCCAGGCCACAGGAGACTTTGCCACTTGGCAGGAAGGGGAAATGAGGGCACACCTGGCCCCTCTGTAAACACCTCCTCTTCCCTCTCAGGAGCCACAGCGAGCTCCTCGGCCTCCCCATCTGCTGTCCCCAGCGCTGACAGCTCAGCAGCCAAGTTGAAACCTGAGCCCTGCCTGGCATCCCCTATGTGCCCTGGGTCCGGCACGGACCCCCAGGTGAGGGGGCGGGCATTGGTGGGGTGCCCAGAGCTGGGGCCCCTGTGCTTCCTCAGCCCAGTCAGATCCCATCCGAGCCCCTCGGAGCCACTCCCGCCAGGTGGGCTGGACACCCCGTCGGCTTTGGGCCATCATCGTGGTGGCCCTTCCCCCAGAGCTGGCTCTGTGCCCAATGTGGGGGGAGCACTGATGCCTCAGGAGGGGTCCCACATGCCATTCCAGGGCATCGAGGGGTCCCGAAGGGCAACCGCGGTCATGGGAGCTCCTGACCTAAGAGGCCGCAGCAGCCCCCCCACCACCCCGAATTCTCACACTCTCCTGTCCCTGCAGGCCTCCGGCCAGGAGGATGACTCCCTTGCCCCCGGCCACTTGGAGTTCAAGTTCGAGCCTGAGGACTTTGCCTTCCCCTCCACAGCCCTGAGCCCCCCGGCTGGCCTTGGGGGGGCTCTGTGCCAGGAGGCCTGGTGTGCGCTGGCCTCGGCCTAGGTCCCCAGGCAGCCTCCGTCAGGGGAATAGTCTGGAACAGAGCACCCACTGATTCACTCCGTGACTCCTTCAGTCCAGCACAGCAGAGACCAGCAGGCCAGAGACTGGGTGTCCCGGAGTCTCCTCGAGGCGGGAGGGAGGCCTTCTGTGCAGCAGGCAGTCAGCCCCAGAGCAAGAAGGCTGCTGAGGAAGGGCCCAGCCCCCCACCCCACGCACAGCAAGACTCCCCAGGTGCAGCCAAGGCTCCGGACCACACCGGCCCCCCTGCGGCGGCGGCCAACCCAGGGCACCACCTCCAGCTCGAATTCAGTCCTCAGCACACACCGTCAATCTGTTTACAGTTGTAGCAGTTGGGGAAAAGCAATCAAGCTCCCAGTGCAGAGCCAAGATGCCAATCGAAGCGCCTGAGGCCGAGCCGGGGAGGGGAACCAGGGGAGCAGCTGGGCACGGACCTCCCAGGGCCTCGGCTGTCCTTTGCTGTCCCCATTGATAGACGGAGCTGGGTGAGGAGAGCCATCCCGCAGCCGCTGCAGCACTGCCAAGGATGGGCGTGCAGGCCGCACACGGGGAAGCCATTCTCCCTGCGGTCGTCACAGGCGTGTGCGCTTGTTCGGATGGCGTTTCCAGAGGGGATGGGAAAGGGCCCTGTTCTGGCCGAGCCTGTGTCATGACGGTTCTTACAGGCGGAGTGAAGTGTCTGGGAGCCCTGCCCTGACCCATCCGAGCACTGCTGGGGCTGGTGGTGACATGGCCCCCTGTCCAAGGCAGCTGTGAATGCCAGCGGCTTCATGTCCAGGAGGCCATAGGGAGCGGAGGAGCTGGCCGGCCGGCACAGCACCCTGCGCAACTTCTCCCGCCGCCTGCCCCGCACTGGACCTGGCTCAAGAGAACTCAGGCAAGGCCCTGCGTCCTCACCTCCGCCCGGTTGCCACATTTCACCAGCAAGGCCTGATTTTTCCAGCAAAGCCGGAAACGTGGACTTTAAGTCTTCCAATTTGATTCAAAAACCTTTTCAACATTGTGAGCCACCTAGACCCCCACGCACTGCCCCATTTAAAACTTTTATATTTGAAAACACTCGTGTCCGGCGTCCGCTTCGGGAGTGCAGCCGCTCGTCCTGAAGCTGCGCCTGCAGAGCATCCTCCAGCCCCATTTCCGGGTGATGTCATCTTTTCTAAAAAAGACGAAGCCACAGCAAATGTGAAATAAAGCCTTGAACCTCACTCTCCCTCCCCCATCCATCACCCGTGGGGTCTCACTGCCCCACCCCGCCAGCTGGTCACCATCCTCCTGGCAATTTTCAGCCGTCCTCTACATTCAGAAACATCCCTGGCCCCCTGCGTTCCCCCAGGTGCCCTCGAGGGCATCTCCAGGCCCCTGGTGCTCAGGACCACTGATGCCCCCAGGTCCCCAGCTACTGGAGGGGGCAGCGGGCAGGCGGGTGCAAGGCTCGGCAGTGGCCCTCAACAGGCCTGGGGCCTGGCCCAGTGGTGCAGCAGAGGGGCTGGCCTGGTGGACACCTCCATTCCCCAAGGCTGGGTTCCTGCTCAGAGTCTCCTCCCAGCCTAGCCCACCTCCTCCTGGAAGCCTTCCCTACCTGCTCGAAACCTCCTCCATCCTATCAGGCGCTGGGGTGGGGGCTGTGGCAGCTCTAGTAACTTCTCCAGCCACCAGCCCCCACCACTGGACCTGGCTCGAGAAAGAATTCAGGCAAGGCCCACGTTCTAGCCCATGCAGTGGGAGCCATGCTGGGGAATTTCAGCTCTGCAGGATCTGAGGTGGGCCCGGGAATGGGCATTTTAATCAGGAACCCCACAAACCTGCTGGGTGCCTGGAGGTCCACACTTTGAGAAACCCTGCTCTAGGATGGCTTTAGGATCTGAATCCAATTCAAGTCCCTGCCCTGCTCATCTGGCCTGGGAAGGGGGTGTGGGGGAACGGGCTGGGGCAAGGTGGCACCTGTAGGTGACATGGCACCCACCATATGGGTCCCATGTGGCATCCGGACGCCATTGGGGTTCACTTGCTACTGTCCCGTCTGCAAGCCCAGAGGCCTCAGGCTGCCTTCCCGGGAGCCCGTGAGTGAGGACACAGGCCCAGGAGATTGAGGGTCACCTCCCCATCCTGGCTCCTGCATGGCCCCTGCACATCTGCCTCAGTGCTCAGGCTGGGCCGCTGGGTCCCCGAATGGGAAAACAGGTGACAGTGACCTCCACAGGCCTCTCCAGCCCAGGCCGCAGCGGGAAAGGGACAGCAGCCCTGTCCCTTCGCAGGTCATACAGTCGCTGTCTCTGGCACCTGCAGGGCTGACCTTGGGGGTGAATCCATGTCTTTATGGAAGGTAAGGCCAGCCCAGCCCGTTCTCAGCACCCCAGACCCTGGATGAGGGGGCGATGGGACCACAGACCCGGGGGAAGGAGGCCTGAGTTCGGCCCAGGAGATGGCGGGAAGCCACAGAGCTTTCTGGGCCGAGGAGCTGGGGTCGGAGGCAGTCAGCTGGCGACTGTGTCATCACTTCCACATCGGCGCCTCCCCATGCCCGCTGCTGGGCGGCACTGCCAGCCTCTGCCCTCGCACTCCCCGCTCCCAGGAAGCAGGCATTGGTTTTCCTCTTTCCAGATGAGAAACACCATCGCTTAGTGAGGTGACCCGGGTACCAGAGTCAGAGGGCACCGCACAGCGCCCCCAGACCACAGTGCTGGGTACAGTGGAGCTGCCCTGTTGCTTCTGTTCCAGCCTCAGTTTCCCCACCTTTGCTGGGGAGGGAGTACCCCACATCTGTGGCCATGTCTGTAATCCATGGATTGTGTAGCAGGCGGGTTCTGGGGAGGCCCAGGCACCAACCCCTACCTGGAGAGGCTTTCCGGAGGTGTTTTTTGGGGGTGTGCAGGATGGGCAGGGTCCCCTGGGAGGCCTCAGGATAGAGAGGCAGCGCTGGGCACAATCCCTACCTGGAGCAGCTTCCCAGAGGTGTTTTCAGGGGGCATGCAGGACAGGCAGGGTCCCCACGGGTAGAGAGGAAGGAGTCCAGGTGGTGACCAGGCTGGGGGCCTTTGGCCCTGGACATACCCCATCCATGAAGGGAGGATGCCAGAGGAAAAGGCGGGGGGGGAGGTTGCTCATGGGCAAGAGAGAAGCAACCCTTTCCCTGTTTTTATTCCATTTTTAGGGATGTGTCCAGGATGACGGAGGCTGACAGCTTCACCAGTGGGCGTGGTCGCTGCTGCTAAAATTAAGCCTTTCTCCTCTTGGGGGAAGCCCTGAGGACCAGGCCCTTAATATAGCCACTGGGCACCCCTCCCACGGCCCTTCCTCCCGCCAGCCCACCCTGCACGCTGCCTCGTGGGCCATAAACAACCAGATGAGCTGAAGGCTGGCAGCAAAGTGTCCCGGCCCCTTATGAAAGTGACAGCACTAAAAGGAAGGTCCCTTTCCTGCACTGCAGAGACCTGGGTGCACTCACTCCCCATCACCTTTCTAACTAAAGCAGATGCCAGGTGCCTGCGGGAGGAGACGCCACGCCTGGAAATCCCCGAGGACCTTGCAGGGGCCCCTCCAGGCTGCAGAAAGTGTCCACTAAGCCCCACGGTGCTCCATCCTGTGGGAGGGAGGAGACCCTGGTGACATCCCACAACTAAGCACAGGAGACACAGAAAAAGAAGAGAGGTCGGGCCGAAGCCGGGGCGTCCTGACCAGGGCCATTTGTAGAGCCTCCCACGTCAAGCCCTTCATTTATTGCTTCATTCAGGACAAGGCAGCAAGGCTGAAAGCGTCCGGGTCCTGGGGCTGTCGTCCTCTCTCCTCAAAGCAGGCCCCGAGCCTCACCAGCATTCCTGAACCTCACTGCGGCCAACTGACAGGGTGCTTCTCGGTGCCCGTGGGTGCCCCTTGGTTGAGCATCGACACGGGGTCCCAAGAGCTGCCGGAACAGCCTTGAACCTGACAGGGCGGCTGGGTCCCGGGACCTGTCACATCCCCACTGTGGGGCGCCGGAGCTTCCAGGGGTGGGCTCAGGCAGAGGGTCAGCCTCGCCTTTGCGGTTGCAAAAGACAGCTCACGGCTACGTGTTCGTGAAGCCTCTCAGGCGCTCTTCGGAAACGCACCATGCTCATTCAGGAGGGAGATGGGAGGCTCCACCCCAGGAGGTCGAGACCAGCCAGGGCAGCGGTGACAGCCCATCTCTACAAAAAAAAAAAAAAAAAAAATTAGCCGGGTGTGGTAGCGTCCGCCTGCGGTCCCAGCTGCTCAGGAGTCTGAGGTGGGACGGGTGGGATGGTCACTTGAGTGCAAGAGTTCCAGGCTGCAGTGAGGGGTGACCGCACCGCTGCGCTCAAGCCTGGGTGACAGAGCAAGACTCTGTCTCAAAAAAAAGGAACATTGTTAACCAGAGATGCCTCCCGGTGAGGACATTCTTAGAAGAAGACGGTTCCCACCGTCGCCATCATCAAGCAGGTCGTTCCGCCACCAGGAACACTGCTGTCATGCCTGAAGGGGACGTCCCCACTCTGCTGTGCTGGTGCCACAGCCTCGCAGGCCATGTGCGGCTCGGCTGCCTTCTCCAGGGGTGTGGACTGCCTTCAAGGACAGCCAGCTGGACGTGGGCTGAGTCAGGGCCTGGTGTGGGGTGGGGAGCGCAGGGCAGGGTGGCTGAGTGAGCAGAGAAGAGAGAAGGTGGGGAGGACCAGGACAGAGCGGGGGCAGGACCGGCTCTCCTGTGAGGGTGGCTGGATCCACAGCCTCAGGGCTCGTGCTTCTGGGGACACCAGACCTGCCTTCGGAAGCTGGCCAGCACCTGGTGTCCACCCCAGCCGAGGCTCACCGCGGCAGGAGCAGCCGGCAGTGACCCTTGGGCACCCTGGGTCCAGCCTCCTCCTCAGAGGGCCACAGTGGGAAGGGACGTGGCGTGTACGTGGCGGGTTTCCTGATGGAGGCTCTTCATGCACCAGGGCCCAGGCTCAGATCCCCTCAGCAGCAACCCCCGCATGTGCCAGCTGGGGCCCCATCTCCACGTGGCCCCCAGGCGCTCAGCCACCAGCTGGAAGGTGAGGCCCAGGGAGCAAGCACCCAGCCCCCCCACATCCGCCTCTGCGCCATGCCTGGGCCCTCCACTCACCAGAACCCCCAGCCACCGATGAAAGTGAGGCTTGAGGGACCCGGCACCCCTGAGGCTGGGAGGCTGTGGCTGGGGACAGACGCCAGGGTGCCCACGTCCAACCCCCCACAGGCACCTCAGCAGCGTAGGTTAAGCCCATAGCCTCCCCGGGGGGGGTGGCTGGGGTGGGCAGCCCCTCCCCCACAGTGCCTTGTGCGGCCGCCAAGCTGTTGACACGGGCGGCTCCAGCTGCCTTATTTATTATCTGATAACGCGCTCTTGGCCCCGCTGCTGGACGGCGTCGGGCGCACTGGGGCCGCGGGCCTGGGGGAGGAGGAAGGCAGGGCGGGGTGGGGACGGAGCCCAGCCGCAGCCACACCACAGCCGGCCCGGCCTGCACGCTGGACTCTGGGCTGGGGTCACCGAGGGATCCCCCGCCTCCTCCTCCTTGCAGGCCAGGCTTCTCCACGG